AAGATACCATCTTCTCATTAGAACTAAAATATCTGCAGGCAAACAGCTACCAGGTGCAAAAACCTCCTGATTAAAACCTATGTTCTCTTTCCCTCCTCTTTCTCATCAGAAGGAGTTTTGCTATTATGAAAAACTAATTTTTAAAAAAAAAATGAAAGCACTTCTATTACAGTTTCTTTTAAAAACATCGATTATTTTTTATAAACACCAAACTAGCTTGTTGCTGTATGAAAATATGCCCAGAACTCAACGGTTCAGCTCCAAAAAAAATTCCTTTAAATGTTTATAAAAGCTATTTCTAAGTATTTTTGAAGCATACATTTTAAAGTGTTCTTAATTAGAATTTAAGTTCAACAAACAACCTTTTACATGTATTTTAGTAATGAAGTGGTTACAAAAGTAATATCAAAGTCCTCAAGTCATCCAAACACCCATAAGAAACTTTTTCATCAAAAGCAAGAAGATAGAAAACTGACTGAAAGAAAAAGTCGATGTCTCCTTTATGGATCACAGAAGTTCAAAGAATATTTCAGCTTCATAATTATTTACTTTGGAGGGGTTTAAGAAATTTTTTTCCTTTTTGGAAAAAAAAAAAACCTACAACCCAAATTAAGCTTCACAGAACTGTCCTCAGAAAAACTCAGCATTTAAGAGCTATAACACTGAACTTTAAAGATATTCTGAGCACTTTAATATCACACTGATATAGATAAAGTAGAAAAGAATGAGAAGAACATAACAAACACGTCTGAAAATAATGCTGATTAAAGTAACACTTAGCATTGCATTCCATGAAGTTGAGCTAACAGGTGTATATATATATATATATATAACATCCCTAAAAATAAATTAAGGATCCGGACACTTGTACTGAAAAGGAATTCAAATCAGCCATATTTGGCTCCTTGACCTTAACCAATACCCAGACTAAACACCCCCAGCTCCCTCAGTGGTTCCTCATCAGACTTTGTGCTCCAGTCCCTTCCCCAGCTCCGTTGCCCTTCTCTGGACACGCTTCATCATTTCAATATCTTTCTTGTAGTGAGGGGCCCGAAACTAATTAATGATGTGGCCTCATCAGCGCCAAGTCCAGGGGGAAAATCCCTCCCCTGCTCCTGCTGGCCACACGATGACATCCACAGCCTTTCCCTCAGCAGCTGACAAGGTTTAAACAAAGCACTAAAGGAACAAGATATCAAGCAATGCAAAAAAGTAAAAAGGGAACAGAACCACTTGTTAAAAGTAAACTTTTCTGTGTGTTTTCTATGCCAGGGTAATTTTGAATTTGGCCCAAATTTAGACCAGGAACTCAGTGTTCTGAAGGATCAGGCTGTATGTATGAAAGCAAGAAAAGGTTTCCAGTCTGAAACTCGCACAGCTGTGACTTCAGCAACAAGAGAAAGAACTTTTATTTCTTACACTTTTATAAGGAAACATATTTGGGGTTGTTACCCAAATAAATCCTTTGGGAAACAAAATAAATGACAGAAGAGCAATATTTTAATATAATGGCATTTGAGGGTCTTTTTACTGCTCTCGATTGAATTTTTCCACCTCATATTTAAAGCTTAACACTTATCTTTGTTGCTTGCATTTGGGAGGCAGGCAGATGTTGACACATATGCAAATTTTTTAGAAAGAAATAACCCTATAGGTAACCAATTAAGTATATTTATATATAGTCAAGGCACCATTATAATGAATATGCCTGATTGCACATTAATTGTATCCCTTATGTACTACAGTCAAAAGTTAAATACTAGCTTGTAAAAGTGACATATAGCAACAGGAAGCACCAATATTTAATACTCAGCTACAATTCATAAGCATTTAAAATAAGCTTATTGCAACTGAAAAAAAAAAAAAAAAGTTCTGTTTTCCCAAGAACCAAAAATAAATTCCATTTTCCCCAGAGCATGCAATGCACAGCTGATGGTTCTATCCCACTTTTTTTTGGCAAACTTGGTGTAACCCCGAAAGCAAAATCCATAAGCAACCTCACACCTCAAAATCACTTTAGGACTGCAACAAAATGATAGACAGTCAAATTGTACGAGGAGTTTTATATCATTTCTCCATCCTTTTGGGGGCACAATTCCTTATTCTGCTCAGAGAATTACCAAGCACACATTTTTCTCCTCTGTGTAGGCTTTGCATGAGTTTCTCACCCTTGGAAGCTTTCAGTGATATTGGTTAATTGCCTGATTTCAGCCACCTCTCTAACCTCTCCCTTTCAGTGGGCGTGACAGGGTTTACTTGTAATATATATTGCCCCTGACTGAGTTTTATCTTGTTCTCCTGGATTCTCATCAGCAATTCCCAAGTTAGAGGCTTCCCCAGAAAGTACGTCAAAGGATTCCCACCCACACACTGCATATCTAACAGACCCTGACCCATTTTCTCCTTATTAAATCAGCACTACATATCTTAAAGAACAAAAATAATAAACGGAGATCCTAAATGAATGCAAGAATTGCAGTGGGAACTCTACCCTCTTCAGATTTTCGTTCTGACAAAATTGTTATCGAAAAGCAAAGAGGCACATTTCAAATACAAACATCAAAAGCATTTTTCCTCAGTGTTTTTATTCTGTGACTTATTACTCCACCCATCTTTCAGCTAGGAGAGCTTCATTTATAAATTCTGAATATAGAAAAATCCCCTTATTTAATCATTCTTATCTCCTCTTTCAACAATGTCTTTGGGCATATTTCACAGAACCATAGAATAGATAGGGTAGGAAGGGACCTCTGGAGATCATTCAGTCCAGCCCCAGGTTTATTTCTAACACAGTGAAGAAAATAGGCAATAAAATCCTATAATTTCAGATCAACCATCTTTCAATGAATACTGGAAAAAAAAAATCCAATTATAAAAGCTGCAAATCTCATAGCAAAATCCCTTGTACTCCACTGATTTGTAATCAGACACTAACTTTACCTGTTATTTATAAATTATATACTTACAGCTCCTCCTTTCCTCTTGCAACTGACTCCCCAGGGATAGCAGATTAATAATTAGCACATATACCATACATGAACATTCTTTTATCTTAATTATCAACACAAACTACAATGAAAAAAAGATGTATTTACCTTCTGAAAAAATGATCCACCTGTTCTTTCTAACAAGAAAGGCAGAAAATGAGGGAAAACACCAGAACAAATAAGAGCACTGCTCTGTATCCTACAATACGTATTCAGGTGGCATCCAATCATCTTCCAGTGATCAAGACTTTTCATCAACAACACGATGCTATTTAAGAATCCACTTCATTCTAAGGATAACTTGCAGCTGTAAAGGTGGACAACGCCACGTCTGGAGTCCAAGAACCAAGATCATACAGTTTTCCAAACAAAAATAAGAACTAGGAGACCTCCTCTGTCTAATAAACCACAATGAGTTTACATCAGCTGTAATGCTTTAATAATTAAAGCTCATCCTTTCACAAATTTAAGCAAGCAGAAAGCTAACAATGTCAATCACTGGCAGAACAGCATCCAATGGACTTGTAAAATCCATCTGAAGAAATAAACTTTTTTCACACCCAGGTTTTCATAGGATACTTTACAGATAGACACACATTGAGTCAGAGACTGTACACTGTTGTCTTATGTTGTGTGAATGTTTCTAAAAGACTGGCTGTTTTCTATGACACAAAGACCAGAAGACTTTACATCTCCCGTGACATTTGGCTCAGATTGAAAGAAAATGGACTTTCCTTGGCAATACTGCCCACAGTATTCCTTCAAAAAGAGCATTCTCTGGAGAAATAACAGTTGAGAGGAATTCCACAAATTTGTAAGTTTATACTGCATGTCACTTCAATCCACAAAGAACTGAGGATTAAGAGAAATATATTGAAGTGGTTTTACAGAGTAGGATGACCAGAAACTGGGCTAGGCTGTCTTGTCATATGCTTGCATTTCTCCCACTGGACTTCTGTCAAAGACACTTGAAGAGAGGAATGCAGAGTTTGAGCCTTTCATCTTAAAAAAGATGAGGAATACCTTCTGCATTGCTTAAATATTACTGCTGACTTAGAACTCCTTTTTATGTGGGAAAACTTCACTGAACAACCAAGTGTTCCTTCAGCCACCGCTTCGAGTTTTCTTCTTCTTGGAAATATTTGTTTTTCCTCATGAAAAAAGGCATTTTTAAATAAACACTCTAATGTTTTCAAACAAACAGTGGGTATCCTCTCCTTGCTATTTGACCTAAATTTCTTAAGTCTTACTTACTTCATATTATTTAGTTGTGTATCTACACATTTTTACTTCTTGGTCAAATTTGAAAATATCACTTTCTGAAAAGCTCATATTCAACTCTGTGTTGCACACTTTTGCATGAATGCACTGATGCTCTCACTGGGCTCTTTCTTGAACAAAAAAAATAAGGAATAAGAACTTTGCATAACTAAAAAAATTGCATTTAGCAATTGTTCCTTTAGTAAATTCAGCACTCTATTTAAAAAGAATATTGAAGCATAAGCTATACACAGAAATAGTAGCTTATTAAATTGTTCAGTAGTTTCTGAAGCCAGTGGCAAAACACTTAACAAAGCTAATACTGAATTACTATAATTTTGGGGGGGGGGGTGTTAATTAAAATATTCATAACCCCTATTTAAATGACCTCATTATTTAAATCCTATTATTCCATTGTTTTTTGTGAAATATTTACCACAAAGACATGTTTTTGTACCACTGCCATCAGAGCCATCTCAAGGCAAGCAGAACACATGAATCTTTTTTTTTAAATCCATTTTTAAACGTAAAACTGGCCACTTGATGCATGGGCAAAATTAAGAGTACTGAATATGCATCTGACTCCAAAAATCTCAGAAGAAGCTGCATGCAAATATCTCCTACTTAACAGGCCACATGCAGCACATAACGCTATTCTACGATAAGCCATTAAAAACCCTTAAAAATACATTAAATTCTGTATAAAACACCAAAGGATCTCAACCATATTTAAGACAAGAGAAGATAACTCACGGGTAGGACTCCGAAAGCTGCTGAGCTATTTTGTGAGCTGTGGGATCCCTGTCCAGGGCATACACGGTGATGTCCTTGGCCTTCTCCAGAAGGGCTTTCGTGTGACCCCCGGCTCCAAACGTCATGTCCAGGAAACGCTGGGGAGTGAAAAAGGCACCACCTTCACCTCAGAGCAGCGATAAACTGATTTAAAGCTTCTTTTGCTAATCTCCCTCAAGTACTGGAGGAAAACACACCAATGCCTTTCTGGAAATACTTCTGTGTTTTGCGCACAGTCGCAACCACATCAGAGTGACCTGTTGAGGGATTGCGACCTCCCTCCCCGAAATCCTCCCAGAACAAAAGGTCAGTCATTTGGTACGACCAACTGCAGCTTCCTGCTGTTCCCATTTCTTCACATTGTGTGTCGAGAGGAAAGCCACTTATTGGACTGCTTTATTTGGCCTTGCTCAGTTTGATGGTTACAAAGATGTGTAGGATATGGGATTATAGGCAGTAATTGGCACCACTGTTTTTGCAAAAACATGTCTAAAAGGACAGCTGATGTATTGTGCAATAATTAAAAAAAATAAAAATAATTAAATACGTTAATTAAAATTAAATAATTGAAAAAAAATTTTTAAAACCACTATCATAGTTTTATACCAGAGATCAAAGTGTGATGGCACAGGTATTGTCCTGACTGGGCCTAATCTAACTAGCCTAGAAAATGGAAATTTTCAAGACAGTAACCCATAGATTTTGGGTTCCCTGTGCTAGGTATTTAGCTATGTATTTAGGTTATTAAGATACACTGATGTTTAGTCCTAATATATCTTCTCTACCATCATAACATGTTCATGTTAATTAGATGCAGAAGAGCACAGGAAAACCCACCTTAACAGCAATCCCATTTCAATTGCTGATGTGATATAGTATGTGGGCTGGAGTTAGACCTTTTGATAGGCAATAAATATTTCCTTGCTTCTGAGGAATACCTTAGAATAGATACCAGGCCTGTTTTTTTCTTTACAGAAACTAAGACTGGAGGGTTTTTAGTAATACCAGGCAAACACAGCCACTCTCTCCAGTCTTCTGAACTAAAGCTGCCAACACGTTCGAGGAACTCTGAATGTACTCTATAACATATGTAGGTACAAATTCAGCACCAACTGAGCAACACTGGACATTGCTGTGTGCTGGACACTTTGTCCAAAAGGATCCTATGGCAGAAAAATTGAAAGCCTTCACTGAAATCCAAAAAGATTCCATGAACCAGCTTCCCTTGATCAGGTTTGATAAGCAGGACTTTGCTCTCAGGAAGCCGTGCTAGCTGTGACCAATGACTGTGCTGTCAAGTGTTTTTCAATACTTCCCAGAGTAATCTTCTCCATAATTTTACCAGGCACTGAAATGAGTCTGCAGTTTGTGGGGTCCTCCTTCCTGCCCCTCTTGAAAATTGGGACAGCATTCACCAGCTTCCAGTCAGCTGGGACCCCCCCTTCGGATTCCCAAGACCCCTCAAAAATCATCAGGAGAGGTTTTGCAATGACATCAGCCAGTTTTTTGAGGATTCTTGGATGAATCCCATCAGGCCCCGTGGATTTGCAGGGATCCAGCTGGAGCAGCAGATCCTGCACCATTTCAGGCTCGGCTGGGAGCTGATCATTCTTGCAGTCACGGTCCTCCAGCTGAGGACCCCTTGGTCCATCATCCACGCTGAAGAGAGAGGCAAAGAAAGGCTTAAACACCTCTGATTTGTCTCTGTCCGTGTTTTTGAGGTAACCACCCTCATCCTCGACAGGATGATGATATTTCTATACTGCTTATTGCCATTGATATATTTGATATATTTGAAAAAATTCTTTTTACTGTCCCCACAGTAGCAAGCAGCAACTCTGTATTCTTTCCATGCCACATGGGAGCAGGAAATTCCCTGCTCTTTGGAGGTGTTTTTTGATGCTATTGTTTTTATGGCAATGCATCTAAACCAAAGCAGAAATGTGACTTTGTTTTCTGCACCTTGGAATCCCCTTAAGTCTTTTCTCTCAGTTGATTGAACAGACCTCTGTTCACTGGGGGGGGGGAAACTCAGACTACACACAGGCTCAACTAGAGCAACAAATTCTCCATATATTTCAATATTAGTACCTGCAGGGCTTTCTTCCCACTTCTCAAGTTATTTTTTAATGTGAAAGAGTTTTGAAGATCACTTATCAGCCACAATAATCATATTAAACAGAAATTGATGCGAACCAAACTTCTCTACAAAAATTATACACCACAAGGGTAAGCACCTTTTAAGGGAAATTTTCTAACTAATCTCTTGAAGGAATTAAGACTCAACCACAAAATCCCTTTGGAACAGAACAGAAATTCAAAGGCAGTGAAGAAAGACACAAATACTTTTTCAGAAACTGTTTTTAGAAAACATAAATAAAGGCTTATTTATGGAAATTCCATAATAATAAAAGCTGAATACTTAAGAGACTAATAATATAACTCTACTGTTGCTAAACGTAAGTGCAATTTATGATCTTTTAAGATAAAGCTGCATTATTTAATTTCTTTGTGTTCTGCCACCATGTTCCCTAAGCTTTATGCTCTAGAAGCAAAACTCTCCTATAACATTTTACAAAGTTCATGGAGGAAACCAAATTTAGTTGGGTGATCACCCAAAATTAAATGGCATCATTTGTATGAAAAAATAAAGCACTGACACCGAATTTTTTTTGTAAGCAGTATGTATAAAACAGAGGACAGAACATCCATACTGCATAAATGCTCCCACTAATCTATTTAAGCATTCTGATTTATCTTCTGCCATAACAAAAACAAGAGTGTACTCACTGAAACTAATTTATAAGCACAAAACTGAAACAGTCGGAAAAGTGTGGTTGTTTCTTTAACACATCTGCCCATAAGAATTTAGCTACATTTTGAAAATACTTGCAATATGTTAAAAATTCCAAGCATTTTCTCTCTAAGTTCTCACGTGTCACTGTTTTTTATTATTTCTCTTTAATGAAAATTACTAATATAAAAATGTTGACTCTTCATTTAGCTTAGAAAATTGCAAAAACAAACACAAAGTCTAGAAAATATATAAATTGCTTTTAAAATTTCTAAGATGTACCTGATATCTTTCATTTCCACTCAAATTATTTCCATTTAATCCTTACCAGAAGTAATGTACTTAAGCAATAAACAGACCTTTCTACTTTTATCTTCTAGTTCTGTAGAGAAACCCATTTAGAAAAATCCCTTTAGAAAAATGTGAAGGAACAACAGAAAATTAAAACCACCATTTTATTTCTTGCATAGGATTAACCCACTCAGAAAAGCACTCAAAAAAACTTAGTCACAACAGTCCCAAGTGTCATTTAGGATTGCACTTATTCTGCAGTAACACATAACAATCAAAACCCATCTAAATTACATCATAATTCCTCTTGGAAAAAAAAAAAAAAAGAAAGTTTAATCAGCATGAGTCACGTCTTCACGATTGGGTTTGGTTGTTTTGTTCTAAAAAACCCAAATAAATGCTCTTATTTAATATCATAGCTAGAAATTTAGCAATAAAATTTTCAAAAACCTCAACATTGCCCTTCCCAAAACAGACCTACAGTGTTGGCAGGAAGAGTCAAGGAAGGTAGAGGAAATGCCCTATAATTGCCTATATTTTCTTTTTTTTTAAAAAAAAAAAAAAGTTTGGAATAATAATTTTATTCCACTAGTAACATGAATTTCCAGAAAATAGTCTTTCCCCACTAATAAGTTTAGCAATTTGCTTATTTCTTGCATGTCTGTATGTTTTCTAAACATCTAACTCCTTTTTGGTCATGTCTAGAAAGTATTGTACCCCTCTCCCACCAGCACTTCCAAATAGGTTTGAATAGCATGATATGAGAAAACCTTTTTGGCCAAACCTCCAGACAATTTTGCTTATTTAAGCAATATTTATTATTGTTTGGTTTTGTGTTTTGGTTTGTTTTCTTTTCAGATGAGCTTTTGAAGATCTTATAGCTCGTTCAAGAACGGTTGGTTAATAGTTTCACCTCTCCTCACGGACATCTGCTTGTGCTTTCATTCATTTTAAATGTGATAAACTTCAAGACTGATAAACCCCTTGTACATGCTGAATGTCAGTGAACCATACAGATGATCTTGTAAATAAACCGAAGATAAATACTAACGACGCAAAGGAGAGAACAGAAAGGATGGGGGTCACTGTACCATGAAAAGTTTTAGTTAAGAACACATTTACTGTAAGAAAACATTTACTGTGAATGAGCACATGCTCCTGAATTCCACTGCCCTTCCTGAAAAAACCACCACAAGGCAGCTGAACCTTTAAGGAACAGCAGACAACTGTAAGGTGATCTTTAACCTGGGAGCACCAAATACAAGAGGATACAGTTCTGATTCAGTCCCCATCAAATGCTGCCTCACCAGAACTAATGGAATTAGCATCCTAGAAAACACAATTAAACCTACATTAAGTACATTCTGTCATAACTTTTCCAGGTAAAGACCTTCCAGGGGTAATCTCTGAACTGCATTGATACATATATCCAAAGTTGCCTCATACTCCAAATGTTCCACTCAAAAAGCCATATTTTGCATCTAGAACCCCCCAAAAAATTAAATATCGCCTTAAGTTATCAAATAAAATAATTCTGTTATTAACACAACCATTTTGGAGCGCTGATCAGATTTCAAATTAATCACAGTAATATACTGCTTCATAATATGCTTCTTATATGTTCCATTCATCTTTCACGCCTGAAATAAAAAGATGCTTCATTTTTTCCCTTCCTCTTTCTCGCTTGCCTAGTAGTTTTTAATCAAATAAAATTAAATGACATTTTATCCTCCTGGTCCTATAAATACTGGAAAAGATTATTACATGAATTGCTGCTGCAGTGACTCACCGTTCCATTGTTAAGTTATGATAGTCCCATCAGAGCCCCCTCAGGAATTTTATAATCAGTTTGTGACTATATGTTTCAGAAACCACTTGGCTCTTTCATGACATACAGACAGCAACAAAAAACTTCACAGCTTTGATTGTACAAGTAGCTCTAGTATAGAGATACAATGAGTTTAAGCTCTCATAACAAATACCTTTTAAGCACTTCATTTTACTATGAAGTTA